CATTTCCCAAATAAACACCATCTCTTATGCCTTAAGGGGGCATTATACCAAAATTTACTTTTAATCTCTATGCCTTTTAGCCACAGCGGGAGAAAGATGCAGTCAGTTCAAACTCACAGCACTAACAGAGAGATGTTTATGGTCTGAAATCATTCCCCTTTTTGAGTTTCTATTCTTCCAGCCTCAGGTACCGTGTTTCACCACATTTTATGCCATTTTTTTTTATCAAAAAAGTGGATTGTGACCATTATGTGAAGCTTTTAAAAAAATTGTGCTGGTGTCATTTATTACTGAACTGTCTTTGGTGCAAGATTAGGATACGTGGAGTACTTGTGAATATATGTTAAAATTGGGAAGATGCAAGTCTTACCATATCACATGACTTACTTTTGGTAGCTTCGCCTGCCCGCCTGCTCCCCTTGTGCCTAGCTCTTCATGGGGTTGAGTGACAATACAGTTAGTAATGCAGCGCTCTAAACAAACAACAAAAGCCGGCTTTCAGAAATATGCTGACAATGCATGTGCGCTGAGAATTCTAGGCTCGAGGCTTGCACATGTGCGAGAGATAAATCTGTATCCACATGCCACTAGTGAATACATTGCTGCTTTGTTTACCTTTTAAGCTGCATGATGAACAAAATTATACCAGGTGACGATTGTGTGATGAAAGGTTATAAACCAATTTTTAGACTAAAAAAAAAACAAGGGATGAGTATGTGGTAAAATATAGTAGGTATCCTGAAAAGTCTGAATTAAAGCTTGAATTTCTGTCTATATCATGTATATTCTATCATATTAAGAAATAAAAATCTTTTGACCCAGCAATACCACTTCTAGGGTTGTATCCCAAAGAGATCATAAAAATGGGAAAAGGACCCACATGTACAAAAATATTTGTAGCAGCTCTTTTTGTGGTAGCCAAGAATTGGAAATTGAAGGGATGCCCATCAATTGGGGAATGGCTGAATGAGTTGTGGTATATGATTGTGAGGGAATATTATTGTGCTATAAGAAATGATGAGCAGGCAGACTTCAGAAAAACCTAGAAAGACTTATCTGAATTGATGCTAAGTGAACCAGGAGTAGAACCAGGAAAACATTGTACATAGTAACAGCCCCACTGTGTGATGACTAACTTTGATAGACTCAGCTCTTCTCAGCAATACAAGGATCTAAGACAATTCCAAAAGACTCATGATGGAAAATGCTGTCCACATCCAGAGAAAGAACTATGCAGTCTGAATGCAGATGGAAGGGACTATTTGCTCTCTCTTTTTTGTTTCTTTTTGTTTCTTCTTTCTCTTGGTTCCTCCCATTCATTCTAATTCTTCATTACAACATGAATAATATGAAAATATATTTAATAAGAATGTATATGTAGAGCCTATATCAGATTGCATGCTGTCTTGGGGAGGGCGAAGGGAGGGAGGGAGGAGAAGAAAATCTAAAACTCAAAAGTTTGTGAAAGTAAATGTTGAAAACTAGATATAATATAATATAATAAAAATAATAAGCATTACCTAGCATACTATATGTGTGTGTCTAACATCTCACCTTTCCCCTGTCTTCCCTGTTCTTTACCACCTCTATGTGTTTGCTTATGCTCTTCTTTATGCTTAAAATATCACCCCCTTTCTGTTGAATTCCTATCCATTCTTTAAAACCCAACTTAAGTAACACCTCCTCCATGAAACATTTCATCTTCCATCTCATAATCAGCTGTCTCTCCTCAGACTTCACATAGTGTTTTGTGAATATCTCTCTAATAGACTTAGTATGTAAGATTTGGTATTACAATTATCTAAATAGCTATATCAACTCCCAATCTCCACTAGACACTAAGTCCCATGAACACAGCGATCCTGTCTTATCTAAACTTTTTACCTTCCTTAGTGCCTAGCACAGTGCTGTGCACACATAAACAGTGGCAGAATTGACCTGAATTCAAGAGTAAAAGATACTTGTATGACTGGCTTTCATGAGAATAAAGGGCTCATAAAATGACAGTGAAGCACAGTTAAGCTTAGGTCTCCGTTCTACGAGTGATCCTCATGGCGGAAACAAGTGATTCTGTAATCTGACTTTTGAGCTAAGGGCAGGCTCAGAACGTGTTGTTGCTCATTCCAATTGAGCCAAGTCAAGCAGGACCAGAGCACCTAGTGTTTTCAAGACCTTGTGTTCCCAATTTAGAGGCAGTTCCTCCCAGCCATCCTACTTGCTAGCTGAAGATTCATTTTTCATAGGAGATTGACCTGAAGGCATAAATGAAACCAGTAGAAGAGATCAGAAAGGACAGTAAAGCATCTCAATTTCCAGGCTTCCTACTCTCTAACCTGGGGGTCATATTGCTTCCCACATTTAAAACATTCTGATCTGTCTTGTAGTTATTTGTGTCAGGGCCTTATCTTCCCAACTGGATTGTAAGTGCCTGGCTGGGTGAGACAAAGTCTTGTTCAAAATTGCCTTATGCATCACCTAATGTAATTCACAGTAAATAGTGGGTGCTTTTTGAACTGAATCATGTGGGAGACTATGCCTTGTAATTGTTGCAGCAAACTGTCTCAGATTTATAGTCACTGCCTCCTCAAAACTGGTGCCCCTTCATTTGCCGTCCCTTTTTCTAGATTCTTCTACTCCTTAACAATGCCTGGAGCCTTCCAAACTAGAAATGTCCAGCTTCCAAATAAATTGGTGCTTACTTGCCTATGGCATCACAGATGGAAAGTCCATCAAATAAATGCGAGTGAGTCCCCAGTCCCTCATATAAAATGTCTTGTCCTTTTCCACATCACAAATCTATCCTCTTATGTGGGAACTGAGCCAGGGTGACCCACAATGAATTGAGTAGGGATGATAAGAGCCTAGCATAACCTAGGTATCACAAGAGGTCATCTCTGGCATGATTGATGGTCCTCTCCCCTCCACCCCAAGCTGTGTCACCAAGCCTGTTCTCCTAGAGTTGAGAAGTGGTATAGTGAATAGAGTGCTGGGTTTGGGGTTAAGATCCGAGTTTGAATCTTGTCTCAGACATTTCTTAGCTGTGTGGCCCAGAGTAAGTCACAACCTCTCTCAGACTCAATTTTTTCATCTGTAAAATCAGGATAATAAGAACACTTACCTTAAAAGATTGTTACAAGGATTGATGAGGCAATATATGTAAAGTTCTTTGGAAACCATAATGTACATTATAAAGATTAGCTATTATTATCATTCTCAATCAAATTGAAATCTCCTTGACAGCAGGAACCCCCAGGTCTTCTACTTATTTGTGCCTCTCACAAAAATTAGTACATAATGCTGACCACAGCTGCTGCTCAAATATTTGTTGGTTGATTGATCCTATCACAGATTTTGTGATTTCTCATCTAAAATAGTTCACTCATAACCTTTCATTATTTAGCATTTTTTGTTATTTCAGTTCTGAAAATTGTGAGTTCTGATTCCCAAAATATTGGAATTCTTAGAGATCCAAGGACTGGCCACTCCTATTCTAATGAGTAGGAATGGTTGCACCTATCCTTGCCTGGGGTGTGCATTTTTGATCCCCCCAAACAAGGGCACAAAACTTGAGATCTTGTAAAAATCCCCTGGATTTCTCCTAGAGGGATTTTCATATGTGAATATTTACCATGGGGTGTTTAGCTCTCTGTTTATTCATATTTGAAAATGAGTTAACACAGAAGTAGACTGGTGTATGGGGAGGAGTGATGGTACTTGAGATCTAGAAGGTTGTGCAGCATTTCAACAGTGTTTGGTTGCTTATGCAGGTTTGCTTGTTGCCATGGTTACTGATTCATTCGAAGTTGTTTCCTTACCTGAGACAGACACTGTGCCACTTCAGTAAAAATCAAGGGATTGTTGTTGCTCTGTGGTCTCCAGCCATGAATAAAAGTTGCCAAATGACATCTAGAGTTGGGATTTGATTCCAGATTCAGTGAAATCTTAAATATTCAGCACAGAATAGCTAGAAATGGAGTGCTATTGTGGTGTGCCAAAAATACTTTAAACTGAGAGCCAGAAGATCCCAGTCCTGCCACAAATTTTCTTTATCCCCATGAGAAAAAATGCACTTCGGTTTCCCACCTACAAAATAATGGGGTTGTACTTAATTGATTTTTATGGTTCATTTCAGCTTTAAAAGTCTATTACTTTATGATGAAGACACCATTTTCATATCTCTTCAGAATATTCTTTCCAGAGTACTAAAATCACTCTGAAGTCTGTGATTCTGGAAGAGGGGAAAGCATATCACCCTCTTAATTTAAAAAAAATCAATGTTTTATTTTTTTCCAATTACATGTAAAAACAATTTTAACTTTTTTTAAAATAATTTTACAATTTTGAGTTACAAATTCTCTCCCACCTCCCTCCCCCACCATTGAGAAGGCAAGCAATTTGCAGCCATGCAAAACATATTTCCATGTTAGTCATGTTGTGAAAGAAAACAGATAAGAAAACCAATGAAAAATAAGGAAAGTTTAAAAAAATAATGCTTCAATCTGCATTCAGATTCCCTTATGTCTTTCTCTTTAGGAGGATACCATTTTTCATCATAGGTCCTTCAGAACTGTCTTGGATCTTTGTATTGCTGAGAATAACTAAGTCATTCATAGTTCATCATACAATATTGCTATTGCAATGTTTTCCTGGTTCTGTGCACTTCACTTTACATCAGTTCCTATAAGTTTTTCCAGGTTTTTATGAAAGCATTCTGCCCGTCATTTCTTATAGCCCAATAGTATTCCATCACAATCATATGCCACAACTTGTTCAGCCATTCCCCAATTGATGAGCATCCTCTCAATTTCCAATTCTTTGTGATGACAAAAGGAACTGCTGTAAATAGTTTTGCACATATAGATCCTTTTCCTTTTTTTAAAAAAATCTCTTTGGGATACAGACCTACCCCCTTTATTTTTGTATATAAACTCTGTGTCATTATGATCTGTTTTCTTCTAGGAATAATTACAAACATCCCTTTGTTTCTGCTCTGGCCTTAGGAACTCCTTCACCGACATTCTTCGGGCTATTCTGCTGTCATTGGAAGTTCTTATTGAGGACCCAGAACTTCAGATAAATGGTTTCATTTTAATTATAGACTGGAGCAATTTCTCCTTCAAACAAGCCTCCAAACTAACACCTTCAATCCTCAAACTGGCCATCGAAGGGTTACAGGTATGTGCGTACACATCTATCTGAACATGGAAATGCATATCTAATAATTGCGTGTGTGTGCCCACACACATGTGTGTGTGTTAATCATAATCTGAATAATATTTTGCATTAAAAGGAGTGAAAAGGGATAAAATTCACCTGTACATGCCCCCCAATTCTTACCCAGCCTAAGCCTCAGATATTTGTATTTTATTATTTTTTGTTTTTATCTAAACTTTATTCTTGCCACAATCATATATTACTTGCTAAAACAATTACAAATAATGATCAGAGATTTACACTTAAATTAATCCATTTAGATTCATAAAGATTAAAGACATGCACATCTGTCTGACAGGAAGTATGGGGGGAGAGGAGGGAGAGAGTGGAATGTACTTAGGAAGAGAGCAAAAGGAAGGAAGGGCTAGGGCAGCAGATATAAGTAGGGGCTATTTTTGTGGTTTAAAGTACTTGCCTTCTTGTGTGTACTCAAAGAAGGTTTCTGTGGGATCCGATATCCCATGAACTTGGGCTTCCCTAGATTTCCGGTGGGGAAATGCATCTTGCATGAATATTGATTTATAGCTCATGGTTTCAGTGTTTAGGAGATGGTCTGTATTCTTTTAAAGGAAATGGATAAAACAATATCTAGCTGCTACAGAAAGAATTTCTGCAATAGCAGGATGGGAATGATTGGACCAGATGTTGTCTCAGGTCCCTTCTAACACCATCATTTCAACATTGGCAATTTATATCCAAGAGGGTTGGGAAGTGGTATAGTGGAGAGAATTTGGGACTTGGAATTTTAAAGACCTGAAATCTTGCTTCAGGCACTTTCTAGTTGTGTGGCCCTGGGCAAAGTCACTTAGCCTCTCCTAGCCTCAGTTTCCTTAATTGTAAAATGGGGATAACAATAGCACCTACCTTTTAAAGATTATTGCAAGAATCATATGAATATATGTAAGGTCCTTTACAAATTTTAAAGCACTATATACAAATGTCATTTTTATAATACCAAACTATTACAAAGTTATAGATATATTTTAAAATATTCCGAATTAAAATATTTTTCTTCCATGGCTACCCAGTTTTGCTAAGCGCTAAAATCACCTCCAGGTTGGTAGGATCGTAGATGCTGAGCCAGAAGTCCCCTCAGACATCATTTGGTCAATTTGTAAGTGAGAAGACTGAAGCCCAGAGAGAATGAATGATGTGCTCAAAACACAAGAGATGGCGAGTGGCAGAGTTGGGATTGAATCCAGGCCCTCCTGCACCAGTTCTATCTCTTTGGTTATGTAAGCTCTACTTGTGACATTTGTGTCCATTTGACAAACAGGGCCTAAATGAGTGAATGTAGCTTCTTCCGGGTGTCAGTGGCTCCTCACTGACACCCAGGGATAGTTGAAGCATTGGAAAAATCCGAATTAACACATACAAAGTTCATCTGGCCTTAATTGGCAGCATGACCCTGGGCAAGTCACTTAACCTCTGTTTGCCTCACTTTCCTCATCTATAAAATGGAGATAATAATAGCATCTACCTCCCCCGGTTTTGAACATCAAATAAGATGATGTGGAAAGTGCTTAGCACAGTGCCTGGAGGTTCTATATAAATGCTAGCTGCTGCTGCTGCTACTACTATTTATTATTTTTATTCTTATTTCCCTTCCTCAGAGTAACATCTTCAACACAGGCCTCGGGCATCACTTATCTGCAAACTGTTCTCTGAAGGAGCTACATAGGCCCTGGGAGGCTCTGGAGTGCATGCATGTGTGTGTGTGTGTGTGTGTGTGTGTGTGTGTAAAAACACCTCTACATACCAAAGGGCAAGTAATAATCCATGTTCCTTAATAATATTAGCCCCTAAAGGGTTCTATGACATCTGTGCAATATCTTGCATACCCCAAGCATTTAGTAAAGAGTGAATAAAAATTAATAGTTTCTGTACATAATTTTTCTTGACTTTCAAAATTCAATGTTGGAAAACATGGAGATATTATCAATAATGAATAAATGATTTTTAAAATTATTATTACCTTGACTTTCCAAAGAATAAGTTCATGCTGAGCCTCATCTTTAAAAATCTTACCTGAAAAAGGAAGAAAAGTGAGGGTGAGGGAATCTACTAGGTAACTCTAAATATTCAAGAGTGTTCTCTTCTTAGTCTTTTTCTCTTGGTTTCAAATCTTTTCCTCCCCTAAATCTCTTCCCTCCATTATATTTTTGAACAGATAACTTGACTCTTCTTTAAAACCACCATCAAAGAGAGTTTTAAATTAAGCCTGAGGGATGAATTACTATCTTACTGGCCTGACCTTCCTGTTTGAAATACTTGACATCTCTGGTATCAGACTTTTAAATCCTAGTGGTTTTGCCTCAGCCCTTAATCCATCATAAATGGATGCCATATTATTTTCTTACCATCTAAGGCTTTAAATTAGGAATCAACAGATGCTCTGAAAGATTATGTGATGGTATTAAAGAGGAAGCATTTGTGCTGGTTTGTCCAAAATAAAATTTCAGGAACCAATGAAATATTCTTGTAAAGAATTTCTCCCATAGATAGTCCTATTCTAGGAACACAAATGCTGATTTCAGATTATCCAGAGAGGTTACCAGAGGACCAACTACCAATTAACTAAGATTACCTGGGCTTTTTACTTCCTCTCTTCATACTTTCCATATTTTGTTATCTTTATTGCTTTTTGTTTTTCATCCTCTCTCACTTGCAGTAAGCAATACTGAACCTCAAGACCTTGGTTCTCTGCAAGCCCTGTCACTTATTCATTGTCTGACATTATAAAAATCACTTAATTTTTCTGGGTCTCAGTCTTCTCATCAATAAAATGGAGATAATAACTGCTGAATCTCATAGTAGGCTTCTTGTGATAATCACAAGAGATAAAATATGAGACCTTTCCATTCAAGGACTGGTTGAAGAACTTGCTAAGTTTAGCTAGGAATAGGGAAGACTTAAGGGATGTGATCAACATCTTAAAGTAACTGAGTTTGTCACTGGAAAAGGAATTCAACGATCTGCTTGTCCACAGAAGACAGAACTGGAAACAATGTGGATAGACATGGTGGGGATGAGAGTTACAGAAGTCATTTTTTCTTGATAAAAGGAAAACTTGCTAACAATGTGAATGGTCTATGAGTTGAAGGGGCTGCCTAGGTTGGTAGGGGATTCCTGATGTCTTCAAGAAGGGTGTGGGTGAGTATTTGTACAGAGGTTGGACTTCATGGTTTCTTAGTGCCCTTCTGACACTAGGATTCTGTGAGTCTGTGTTCACTGTAGGTGAAAGTACTTTAAAAGCTATAAAGCAGAATACAAATGCAATATGGTATCACTGATGCCTGGAAAAAGAAAAGAACATAAAACTTAAACCACTTCAATTTAATATTACCATATTAAACAGCAGTTCATGAGATCATAGATTTAGATAAAGGATAGACCATAAGAGATCATTTAGTCTATTGATAGAAAGATATAGATGTATATTACATAGCTGAATCCACGGTGTATATTTTACATATGAGGAAACTGAGGCCCCGAGTTAAGTGACTTGCCCCAAAGTCACACAGGTGGTAAGTAGGAGAACCAGAATTTCAACTAGGCTGAAATGGCTTGTTTGGATTGTCTGTGAATTTCATTTATCCATTCTCTAGGTTGAGCTGGTTATTATGATTAACTAACTGAACCTTTGATGTCATCTTCCATAATATTCACTATGGGTACATAGTCCCTACTTCAGGCCCTCCAAACCGTCCTTCATATTTTTCTTAACATAAACAGAATTCTTTCCTTCATAATATTCTTAGCTCTTAGGCTTCCAAGATGCATTGAAAAGGAATTGGATTAACTCACAATTAGTTCATGAAAGACTGCATACATTTTTTCTTATGATAATATCTGTCTTTGCAATTATTGTAATGTCATTAACATTTTTCTTATTATCATGAACAGATTCCTCAGAAATATTGTTTCTTAACTGTGCAGTGCTTTTAAACAGGGATTTAATGGTACATCTCTTAATGACACAAAGACAAGTTAAATCCATGTGCCCTACTTAGAAAATTAAAGACCATGTATTGTCTATAATCCATTCTTCAAAACCTACTAGCATCTGTAGAAGCTCTGAATGGATATCAAGAGCAATGCATTCTAAGTAAATGGTACAGTGAATAAGGAATGTGGAATTCATGAGAAAACAGAAATCCAAAGCATTTCCTTCATTTCTGACTTGCTGTGTGATCTTAGGCAGCTGCAATAACCTCCCTGTGGTTCAACATCCTGGATTGGAATGTGTGAATGATTATGTTTGCCACCTGCTTTCCCCGCAAAAGAGCCACTGAAGATAAATGAGATCTCTTGGCACAAAACCTCCAGGAAAAGAGAAAATAATTATCATGAATCTCCTCATTCAGCTTTCCTCTGCAAAACTGATTATTTCTTGTGTACATGTAGGTCCTATTAACCTGAAAGCAGAGGTGATAACAAGTAATGTCCAGGGGATGGAAAGTGGGCTAATGACCCTTAGAGAGAAACTTCTATTTAGTTCTCCTATTTTCTGTCCTTTATAAGATGATGATTAGACTAATGATGATTGTGCTAGAATAAATGGCATGTGAATTACTCTTCCCAAAATAAGTTGTAGCAATAATTACAGAGAAAATTATTTTTTAAAGGAAGTATCTGGTAGTAATATCTGAAGTCATGTTCTGTCAGTCCATCATAACTTTATCATTAATCTGTTAGTGAGATGCATTGTGGGACATTTCAGTTTTTAGACTATTAAATTGTCCCATTTGCATAGATATCTTGGGAATTTCATTTCAAAAAATCTTCGTTAGAATATGGATTTTGCAAATACCTAAAAGCTATCTTATTTAAATCTATTAAATTTAAAACTTTTAAATATATTCAATTATGTCTAAGAGAACTGTTGTATGTCATACATCTCAAATAAATTGATCTGTAACCAAATTTAGAATAATATCTATGCCATATTTTATACGTAT